ATGCAGACGCTAGCGACTTCTATTTCAATGTGGATCAACAACTGCAAAAATATACAGCCTCCTATTTATTTACAATATATTTACATACAAATGAAGTATTTCTTACAATAAGCCTCAACTGCATAGATTCTTCCTTTTAAAAGCACAAATTCAAGCCTGTATGCACATGGGCCCAGTTTCACAGTCCTTCCTCCAAGAAAATCCTAAAGAAGATCTGAGCCTTGTGAATTTTACATGTTTTTCAAGAACTTTCCCTTTACGATTTAGTGGTATTTTTCAGTTGTCAGCCACCCCATCCCCAATTTGTACCTGAAAGCCTTAGATAACTATAAATAATTCACCGTGTGTATTTTAGAGGAAGTGTATTCTGCTAAAAGATTCTCAGATCTGCCATCTCTAAGGAAACATTCATTAACATCGTTAAATGATGCAGTCTCAATCGTCTTTATTTTGAAAGGGGCTAGAAGTTTACTGTGAGCTGGAACGGAGGAATTAAACATTCTTAAAGTTTACGCCCTTTCTAAGCCTCGTGCCACTTACACTGATAAACAGAGGGGAACTGATTGATGGCTTTTGCACTAAGGCATAAAATCATGTATCTGATCATTTCACTGACCTCTGCCCCACGCCCACCCCAACAAAACGTGCTGTCCAGCACTCTGATCCGCTGAAACCGAGCTGAGCGCTAATCTTTTCGGAGCGGTTCGTAGCCCCTCTTGCAGTGCAGCACTTTCGGCAGAGAATTCACTTTAAAGGGAGGACGGGCTTGGTCGCCATACACTGAACCCAAACATTCTGGAGAACTTACTCCTGACACGAATTCCGTATTTCCTCTGAGGTTGCATTTACAAACGGTATATCATTTAATTCCTTTCAAAAAAGAAAAAAAAAAAAAAAAACCACCCAAAGCCCAAACACCTCACTTTTATTTCTTCACAGCTGCCGTAACTGTAGTCTTACGGTGTGTCAGGCTGCGCGAGCCCCGCTTACAAAGGTGCACCTGCACCAGCATTTCCAGTGGGAAGGGGGCTGAGACGAGGCCCCTTCCTCCCCTCCCTAAGTCCTGCTTCCCACTTCTTGTCCGTGAGTCCTAGGAACCACCCTCAGAGAATTATGGGCAGGACTAATGAAGGGGAAAAGGAGAGACAAACTGGCTCCCCGGCAAGGCTTTTTACAACACGCTTTGCTGGGTCTCCACCCTGAGAGTTTCTGATTTTACTGGGTCTGGGGTGGGGCCTGAGAATGTGCATTCCAATGAGTTCCCAGGTGATGCTGATGCTTCTGGTCTGGGGATTCCCCACTTTGAGAACCACTGGCTTGGAGGCTTGACGCCAACTCCAGAAAGAAGCCAATTCTGGGGTAACTGTCTGAGGTGTCCTCTGAAATACCGTGACACCTTACCACAGCCCTTTGTCCACCCCAAGCCCCACGGCCATGACCCACGGATGCCCGTCTCAACAGGGTCTGCAAATGTAAAAAAGGAAAAGTGGGTAGAGAGCTTTTTTACCCCCATTTGATTACTGGGCAGTTAAACCATGGTTTACTAGCACTAAACCCATTAAAAGTGCTGTGTGCTGGCTTCTATGACTGGCATGTGGGAGAAGCTATGCCGTGGCATCCTTTTTGGTAGCGGGAGGGAAGGAGACGAACTCCAGGAGTAAGAGGTCCTACAAATAGAAACAGGCAGGCCAGGCCTGAGACCCCAGAGAAAAGAAAGGGTAGCAGCGGAGAACGTCCCTGGCGGTTTACGGCCCACAGGAGGACCCTGCATCCTCCGTAACCCTCCTCCTACCACGAGGTCTCTGGTGGCCCTGAACTTGGTCCCCCTCCTTTGCTGGAGACCTAGCTTCAGGCCACTCTGGGCACCTCTAATTGGTGGTGTGTGAGTGGAGTGGGCGATCCAGATTCCAGTAACAACGAGTGAGGGATTCTTGGCAACTCTGAACAAATACCCCCTAGAAACAATATATTTAGTGTGTAGGTTCTTTAGCAATCTTGTTATATTATCCTATTTCAGCTAAACTATGGGCTTAGATCGTTTTCTCTAGCTGTTCTGGGGGGCCTAGCCATCATGTATAACCTGGTTTCTAAAGGAAAATGCATTCCAGGTTGCAAACAACTGACAGTTTTACAACTGGTCTGCTTACAAACTGGGGGCTGCCCGTGCTTAACAAGACTGGACTTCTTTCCCGTACATACTCTGCAACCCCACTTCCAGTAAGTAACATGAAGGAAACTAGGGATTTACAGTGTGCTGTGTTACTATAACTAGAGAACAGTTCATAATCCAAAGTACGAAGCTGGCACTGTTCACTAGTGCTGAGATCCTATCTACCAAAGGAAAACGTGCTGCTCCCAAAGGCTAAGGTATAATATTCGTTAGTCTACTCATTTAGCAGAAAAACTTCTACAGCACTTGACTGTGTTATTTAAATTCTACCTAACATCTGTGGTACATGTAGTTTTGGCTACCGGTTCACTGTTCTGAATAAGAAGAATAAGGGCAGGTACACTTTACAGCTAATCCCACACAAATGATGTAATTAGTCCATGATATTTGACAAATTACAGTAGGGTCTATTATATTCAGTCAACAATAAACTTAGATAAACATTACAAAGAAGGTTTAAAAAACCTGTAGTATCACAGGCATTCACAGCAATGTGCCTCCTCTAAATAAGTATATTTTAAATAATAATAAAAATCCCTTGTCCTGACACGTAAAATCCAGACATCCAAAAATATCACTACACATCCCAAGAGCTAATGATCACTTTCTAAATGGACTCTGTGGGCATAAAATGAATTGTTATAAATTAATGACGAAAATAGAAAGCAGCATAATATAGATTGCAGGCTACATTTGTAGTTTATTTAATGGATGGTCATCCACTCTCTGGCTATGTCATTATTTGGTGCCCTGGACAGCTCAAAGGGCCAGCCAACTTGTTTTGTTGAGTTTCTCTCCTGCTCATCTAACATGGAAGACACCGCTGAGAAGGACAGAGAGGGCTGTGGATTTTACTAGGTTAGGAAGTCATACATAGGTAGGTACTCATATCTCAACACCTGAACTCAGACCTAATGTGCATGTAATTCTGGAGCATTATGGTAAAAGCTATGATGATCCCACTAAGAAATGCAGGAAATGACTTCTTTTCCCCCAAGAGGGTCACGAGAAAGTGCTCTGATGCCTGCGCTCTCTATGGGACATTAGTCTGTAAAGGGAAGGGGACATTTCCGTGTTACTCCCGGTAAGTGTGGAGGCCTCTGGGGGTCTCCGTGGGGGAGGAACAGAGCCCAGAGCTAAGTGCCTGGAAACTCTGCCAAGAGTCTGCGGTCAGAGGCCACTTACCTCTGGATAAGAAATCTGTGCTTGGTGAACTTACGTGTCTGTGGAATTCAACTAGGATGCAGATAAAACACAAGTCCTGTTTCAAGTGACCAGCTCACAGGGTACACACACTTCTCACTGTGTGATACGGACAATCCAATCATAGGTGATGGCCCAGCTCAGGCGGAATGCGGTGCTGGGTTTCTATACTGTCTCCCACGCCTTTCCAAGCTACCTTGTCCCAAACTCTCTTCTTTTTTCAGCCTCTCTGTAGTTTCCTTCACTTGCTTTAGGAGAGGGGCTGGGGTAAGAGTGTGAGGCAACTCTGTCCTCCTGTGTGGTTCACGTCAGGCGGGCAGTAACGGCCCACCCTTGACTAGGGGCGAGAAGAGAGAGAGCACAGACGCCAAGGTCCCCATCTGGGGGAAGAAAGGTACACAGTGATTTCATCACGTGTTCTTCTCAAAGACCATCTCTGAGGGCTCGTTTTCTTTTTTCAAGACTGGATGGATGGTTAATGGAGAAGAAATAGGAATGAGGCTTATTTAAGGTACAAAAATCTTATATTTGTAATAACCTAAATTTATAGATATAAAACAAGTCTTTTAAAGACCCCCCTAAGGTACCCAATATAAAACAGGAATTACTTATCCTAGATCATCCTTGGTTAGATACACGTGATTCTCTGTGCAAAAAGCTGGTGGACATGAGTAAAAGCTGCTGGGTTTATAATTTAAGAAAATGCTTTTCCCCCTTCAACAATACCGACGCAGGGCTGAAGGCTACCTGCACCCGAGGAATATTTCCTTAGGCGTTTTGGACAATCTTTTTGTAGGACTCTTGCTTCTCAATTTGTTACAAAGGTATCATGGGTCTTCCCCAATAGAAGTTGACACAGCTTAGAGTAACTCTGACAGAAATTGTCAAGGGGGAAACAAAACTTCATTTGCTAGATTACCCAGATGTGTAGATTAGTATGTTTACCAAGGTAAGAATCATTCCCATCCCCTTCCCAGCTGAGAACAGTCGCCAGAGAATATCTCTGCACAGAGTGGGATGCAGTGCCAGCGAGGCCATGGGCTGCAGAAGCTCGGCTGCCAGGTGATCAGAGCTGCCTCAAATATTGGGCATCCTCTGATCCAGCAAGGGTGCGCGCCCTGTGACTCTCATATGATTATCCCTATGTGCTATGTTAACCAAAATAGGCAAATTATTTACGAAACCATTTTTTTTTTCTGTAAAGCAAAATAAATATATACAATTCAAGATTCTTTTCTTTTCTAAAAAGGTACAGATATTATAAGCTGAACATCAGTAGGAAAATTATGTCAGAATCTGGATGTGTAATAAATAAACGTGATGGATGATCATGTCTTCCAAGTTCTAAGAGACGATGACATCACAGAAAACAGGGTTAGGAGAGTGAAAAATAACCGATTGTGAAAAGTACTGGAAAATATGATTGCGTGCAATTTGGAACAAAAGAAATGCGTAATCCTTAAAATTGATCCCCAATCTTGGAGGGACATGAACCATGATAGAAACAGGTCTCTGTTTTGTTACCAAAGTGTTATTCCATTGTGTATCTTGTAAATTTCTGTTTGCTTCTGTAAACTTGCAAAGGATGCAACGAGGGCTTGCTGATGAATGAGAAACTTGACCGTTTCCTTCTCCATCTGGTCTCAGTGGCCCTCATCACCACCTGACGAGCAGGCCCAGTCGTAGATAACCAAGGGAATGCTGACCAGGGAAAACACCACCCCCAGACCCAAGAAAAGGGCAGCCTGGAGTGACAGAAAGGCAACGGTTATTTTCAGGGAAGCAAACATTGCCCACACATACCAGGGAAAAAACAGATATGCTTTTCCCGCTCTTTTTGAGTCCCTCTGTATTTGGAGTTTGTTACAACTATTGCCGAACTGTGAGAATCTTTCTAAAACTGTGTGCATCTGATTCCCAGGGATGGGAAACTAAGAAAAACCAGCTATCAGAACCATCCTCTGCATTCTGTCCTTTGACTTCGGAGTCACCTCAGAGTGAATCTGTTCTACAGCTGACGGTATCCTCACAGCTTCTTTCAGACTAAGACGACAACCGAAAGAAAGAATGGGCTTAGAAAACATACAGGTCATTTCATTACTCTTTACCAACCAACCTAGGTTATCGCTGGCGGGCAAACATTTCTGTTTGAAAAGGTGTTGAAAGGATATCAAAAAGAAAAGTAGATTTGATCGAGTGAACAGAGGAAATGGGTGTCCAAAACGAAGTTATTTCAAGGGTTGATGAAGGCCACAGGGGGCAGGTTCCTAACTCTAGAATCTGGAGAACTCGAGATTATAAACTTGGCCTTGAGAGTTTCCAATGAGAGCTGAAATTCAGGGAGAAGGATGAAGCAACATGAGAGCCAGGGGGGCTGGACTAGAGTCTGGATGGGGAGACAGAGGTGAGGGAAGGGGAGGGTTGCACACAGGCTCACCATCACCGGTCTGGTGTAACTTCCACTGGGTCCCCACATGGACTGGATCCCTTGTCTAATGCTATTTGGTAGATCCTCCTAGCAGTTTTGAAACGGGAGCAGGGTTGGAGAGGCCCAGAGAATTCACGGGCAATAGGTCTCCATCACTGTCAAACTTAATCTTAGTTTACGTTACTGCTGTGTCAGAGTGACTGCTCTTCCTCTCTGTCCTCATGAAGTCCCCACTGGTCAGATCTAGAAGGACTGAGGATTTATGGCTTTAGGGATAATCCTGTTGGGGAAGCAGATGCTCTACCAGCACCAACGCTGCTTCTCCTAAATGCACAGCGATGATCCCCCATGCCTATGCCTCTCATCCGGGTCTGTTGACTCAGGTAACATGTGGACTGGAGTGCTTACACTATCTGGGAGGGCGGCTGAGAAGCCTTCTCCGAAGCCAAACATAATGGTGCTCCAGAAGGTACTCATGTAGCAGCCACTTCACCCCTGCTTCCCTCACTGTCTCCAAGTGCACCACCTTCAAGATGCCCTTGAACTTCACCAGACCTGGAAACAAGAAGCCCAATATAGAAAGGTAGTTTCTGAATCCAGGTCTGCTGCTCCAAAGCATTTCTGTCAAATCACAAAAAAGACTCTTTACACTAACTCAGCCATTTAAATTAAGGCATTGCAGGTTCCCTGGGCTGTAGCATGGAGTTACAGGACTAGGAATTGTACCGAAACAGCAGACTGCATAAAATCTTTGAGCCCCTTTCCACTTCAGGTCTTGCTAAAGACAAGGCATTACCCTACAGAGACACAGGATGATAAACGTCTAATCTTTCAGTTGGCCCTGCCCTCGCAGGGCAAAATAAGGCACAAAAGAGCAAAACCTGAAAATATTTTGAGGGAACGGAGAAAATTCTGATATTTTAAATTTCCCAAATGGGCAAACACTAGGACTGCTGCCTACTTTTGAGATCCCTAAAAGTAGTATTAGTTGGTGGAGATGGACTATGTATTTGATATATTTCAGTGAAAAACTAATCAGAAAAATGAGAGTGGCTGGCATGAGACGTACCCAAATTTGTTGAGCTCCTTTATCTCCATCTTGGCTTGTGATTTTTAAATAAAGAGACGAAGGAAGGATGAAAATAAGCATATTAGCAGACGTAACTCCTGAAAAATAAGGAAAAACAAAGTTTGAGGTTGTTATCGTGAAACTTCAGGTTTCTAAACAGCTATTGTAAATAGAATAAGCAGAAAGTCAGAAAGCCGTACCTACGACTCCAAAAATATCCTTCATGGAGGGTATGAAGATCACCAACAAGTTGATAATAACCAGCAGTATGAAGGTCACCAAGACATGACGACATAAATTAAACTTTGTTTTCTTAGCCAGTTCAAATAAAGAAGAACGAACCTGCAGGAAAAGAAAACAAAAAATTCCGTAATGCCCACAGCACGCTGCCTTTCACATATCTCGGCAGTGACTGAAAGATTGGTGCACAGGCATTTGGGACATGTTTTGTCACACCTAGTGAGTTTATAGATAGCTTTAACAGTTTGGGAAGCAGGGGGGCTTGACTTAAGATGGGAAGTCTTTTTCTTTACGAATAAAACAGGGGGATAGTTTCTGTTTTATCTATGACTGAGTGTTCTTTTACGGTTCTTCTATATTCCCCTGTCATGGATGACTGGGATTCAAACAGTCTATCTACATTTCTCTGTAAAGAAGAGGGACAGATAAATTAGAACGAAGATTCATTCCATCAGAAGGTTACCCTAACTCACTGATCCCACTTTTTTTGCAAAGAGCTTTGGGATCCTTTCTTGATGCAGTTTCAATGATGCAGGAGAGTTCCCTGAAGCAGGCTTGCTCTGCAAGGAGACCTCAGCTTTTCTCAAGTTGCACTGAGGCCTTTTACTCACCGTGAAAAATAACACCGGCACCGTGAGGATGACAGCGACAATGACAGCCAGCCGCACGGTCAGGATGAGGATGTCATCTTTACTCTGATACTTGTGGAGGAGGTCCGAATGCACATTTTCTAAAACGAGGGAAACGTAAGAGGGTGTTAAAACAAGACAAAGGCACATCACGGAATGACGGGTTTTCTGAGCCACAAAGAATTTGTAAACTAAAGGGCAAGGAAAGCAATGTTCAGGGTAACGAAGTGTCTATTCACAATTTATAAAGTTGAAAAGAAAAATCCCCTGTGTGAGATGGGCACCACCTGTCCACACGTACCTGTAGCAAAAAGGAATGTACAGTAATCACTAGAAGAAGTTACACCAAGTGGGGAGCTTAATTTACACACACTAAACCTAAGAGTAAGTTGGGGGTAGAAATACCATACGGTTGAAGCACAAAGCCCTTCTTCATCTCGATTCTCCCCGACGTGGTGCCACTCATCAAACAACACAGAACAGCCTCACTCTCGCTAAGTGGACTGCAGGCCCCACGGGGCCACTTCCAAACTCTCCTCTTATAACTCAATGTCCAAGCGGCAGAGGTACCCATGGAACTTCACCATGGTGAAGTTCATCATTCTTCTCTTCCAGGTATGTTTTCCTCATAAAAAATGTACTTAGCTTATACACCACTTTGAACTGTTTCTCAACTCTGAACTTCAGGAAGTATCATTTCAAAGAGAACCAAAGCTAGAATGGCAGCCACTGAGAGCAAGAATGCTCACTCGTGTCTTTTTTGTCAATGACTTTTGAGCAGTTAGTTGTGATTTGGGGATGCTCGTGAGAAGAGGTGAGCTCAAGGTCCTTCTACTCTGCCATCTTATCTCCAACTGGAAAATGCTCACTCCTTTGACGAAAGATAGTTTCCCTCCCTTCTCAAGGTTCAGGGTGTGGAATTCCAATTCTAGTCAGGGCCAGAGATTGGTCTCAATTTTAGAAAAAGGGCCCTAGGATATAATAAAAATCTCCTTAGTTCTAACTTCCTTGATTCAAAATTCATAACCGTGTAAAAATAGCTGAGTTTTTTCTTTGACCTAAGAGTATGAAAGGTTTGGTATTCTATTCTATGTGGGAAAAAAATGGATTTGCCAAGAAAAATCATAGCTTAAACAAGGTTGCAATGAGACCATTCAGCTAACGTTAGGCTCTCTCTCTCTCTCTCCCTCCCTTTACCCACCCTAATCCCTACAACTCTGCAGGAAACTCAAGAACACCATCTTTATGCAGAAATTAAATGTGGTATTTATGGACTCACTAGACAATGCTGTTCTCTATCGCTTGTGAGAATGTTAATAAGGGAATTCCCTGGCGGTCCAGTGGTTAGGACTTGGTGCTTCCCTTCCTCTCTAGGATGAACTGATCATCTCTAAATGTGTATAAATTTTGAGACATTTGTGTTTATGAAAAAATGCCCCCAAGAAATATTATTTAATAGAGAATGTGAAATTTATGTATTTAAGTTTATATTAGGGCCCAAATTATAATGATAATGAAAGATGTTAAATAAAGCTGCAGGATGATTGGAATAGAAGAGGATGAAGAAGTAGTAAAAGAAGGTAAACTATTCATACAGGGTCAATAAAAGTTACAAATGAAACCTTGTTCTTTTTCAGATTTCATTTCTTTTAACTTTCTATGTCACTGCTTCAAATCGTTGCAAGGCTCCACCTGCAGCTGAAGGATCAGGTGCTTTATTTTTATTTATTTATTTTTTTTTTGCGGTACGCGGGCCTCTCACCGTTGTGGCCTCTCCCGTGGCAGAGCACAGGCTCCGGACGCGCAGGCTCAGCGGCCATGGCTCACGGGCCCAGCCGCTCCACGGCACGTGGGATCTTCCCGGACCGGGGCACGAACCCACGTCCCCTGCATCGGCAGGCGGACTCTCAACCACTGCGCCACCAGGGAAGCCCCAGGTGCTTTATTTTTAATTAATGCAGAGTGTCATGAGTGTAGCACTCTACTCTTTCTCACTTTCAAAATCTGTCTCTCTTTTCTATTAATGGAATCTGACCCAGTTCTCAACAGCAATTAGGAAAGCCTTCTCTGATTATAGTTTTAAACTTTCTTCAGTAAAGGTGGAGTGCTTATAAAATGCAATTTCTTTTAAGGACAGTATTAGGAGAAAAAATTACAGTATACTGTTTCAGTAATTATTCTGTTGTGCAGTCTGCATGAATATGTAAAGGAACCACTGCCATTTGCTTTAAGTAGAAGAAAAGATCAGCCAAGTCAATGGACAGATTTGTCGCTTTTTGGGCTATCATATTAAAAGTTATTTTGATATTGATTTTTACTAATTTACTTACTAATACCTATATTTATGTACGGACAGAAGGTACTTACCATAGAATGTCAAGTAGCCAAAAATGGCAGTCAAGAAATACATAACAAACATGGCGAAAAAGGAGATATTTGAAACCATCTGCATCTTTTTCTGTGATCGACTAAAAACAAAGATAAAGGAATTTGAAAAATTAAAAACCACATTACTGAATGTAAGCACCAGTGTTAACACTGAAGAATAGAACTTAACTTTCTATCAGGCTGGGGCTGACCTGACCGCCTGAAATTACCCCCAGCAAATATGCCAGTTTATAATAACTTCTTTTACACCAAATGGGTATCGTGAGAGAGACAGCCATGTAATGAACAGTCCCTTGAATGTTCTTCCCCATTCTTTTGAAAGAATATCGAGTTCCCATCTGTAGAGCAAAGAGTATTTTTTAACATTTGCTTGATACTATCTCTACACTCAACATGCACAGGAAAAAGGCAGGATAAATTCCAAAGCTGTTCTCTCACCTCGGGGCAGAGCTACAACTTGACCTCCGTGTTCAGTTGCTAAAGCTGCTATTTAAGTTCGGTTTTCCCACTGAATAGCCCCAGGGAAGCCTGTTTGTCTCCAGAGCAATGAGTGCCTAAGAGCTCACAGCTGGGATAATGAAGGGCTCTCTCTTTCTCTCTTAGGTCAAGTTTACTCTGGGAGTTTGCATGAACCTCTAAGTTTCTTTAACTGCCCAAACAATTAATCCACAAGACTTCTACCCAACAGTCGACCACCAACAGTCACAACATTTGAGTGTGTCATAAAAGGGAGTATGGAAAACGAGAAAAATTGAGAAGTACCCATGTGAGGAAATTACAAACTAAAAGCTGAACTATTAAATTTAAAAGATGCCAAAGATGTATTTAAACACCCTAAATATAAGGTCATAAAGTAAGCCTGATGAACACATAGACAGGTAGATGTAAATACCGATACTTCGAAGTTTACTCATATATCAATTAAATATGAAAGAGGAAGAATAATGAGTGAATTCAATGCTAAATAACATCATCTTTATTTTTGTTTCAAAATGGAAACAGATAGCTATATTGTATATCTTTCTGAGTTTAAGACTATACCATGATGCCTACTTCAAGAAACAAGAAAAATCTCAAATAAACAATCTAACCTGACACCTAGAGGAACTAGAAAAAGAAGAACAAAGTCCAAAGGAAGGAAACAAAGATCAGAGTGGAAATAAATGAAATAGAAACTAAAAAGACAATAGAAAAGATCGATGAAACTAAGAGCCGATTCTTTGAAAAGATGAAGAAAAATGACAAGCCTTTAGCTAGATTCACTAAGAAAAAAAGACAGAAGGCCCTGATAAATAAAATCAGAAACAAAAGAGGATAAATAACAATGGATACCACAGAAATACAAACGATTACAAGAGAATATTATGAAAGCTATATGCCAACAAATTGGGCAACCTAGAAGAAATGGTCAAATCCTTAGAATCATATAACCTTCCAAGATTGAGTCATAAGGAAATAGAAAATCTGAATAGACTGATCACTAGTACAGAGATTGAAACAGTAATCAAAAACCTCCCAAAAAACAAGTCTCCAGGACCAGAGGGCTTCCCTGGTGAATTCTACCAAACATTTAAAGAAGATTTAATACCCATCCTTCTCAAACTCTTCCAAAATTTTGAAGAGGAGGGAATGCCTCCTAACATTTTATGAGGTCAACATCACCATGATACCAAAACCAGACAAAGACGACACACAAAAAAATTGCTGGCCAATATCTCTGATGAACATAGATGCAAAAAATCCTCAACAAAATACTAGCAAACTGAATACAACAATACATCAAAAGGATCATACACTGTGATCAAGTGGAATTTATTCCAGGGATGCAAGGATAGTTCAACATTCTCAAATCAATCAATGTGATATATATACCACATTAACAAAATACCCACTTACGATAAAAACTCAATGAAGTGGGTACAGAAGGAACCTACCTCAACATAATAAAGGCCATATATGACAAACCCACAGCTAACATCATTCTCAATGATGAAAAACTGGAAGTTATCTCTCTAAAATGAGGAAGAGGACAAGTGTGCCCACTCTCACCACTCTTATTCAACCTAGTATCGAAAGTCCTAGCCAGAGCAATTAGGCAAGAAAACGAAATAAAAGGCATCCAAATTGGAAAGCTGTCCCTATTTGCAGGTGACACGATTTTATATATTGAAAACCCTGAAGACTCCACCAAAAAACTATTAGAAATAATAAACAAGTACAGTAAAGTTGCAGGGTACAAAGTCAACATACAAAAATCTGCCATGTTTCTGTATGCTAAAGATGAGCTAGCAGAAAGAGAAATTAAGAAAACAATCCATTTACAGTTGCAACAAAAAGAATAAAATACCTAGGAATAAAACTAACCAAGGAGGTAGCTACAGAGAATAAAGTAGTGGTTACCAGAGGGGAAGGGGCTGGGGAAGGACAAAATGCGTAAAGGGGATCAACTGTATGGTGATGGATGGAAACTAAATTTTTGGTGGTGAGCAGGATGTGATGTATACAGAAGGAGAAATATTAGGCTGTACACATGAAACCTATATAAGTTGTAAACCAGTTACCTCAAAAAAAAGACACTATGCCACGATGACTATTTTTATGTGGAAAGTCTGATAACAATAGGCTAAAAAGAGAACCCATGAGGGAATTTCTAAGCAGGGCTTTCGTTTTCTCTAACAGCAATCAAAAACAAATCCATATAATCATTGTAATAGTTTGAAATGAACAACAATATTCTTTTGTCCGGTTTGTGGTCTTAACATTAATTTCTTCCTGCCTGATTTACCAGCCTTTTCCAAGTAAACCAAAAGGCAAATCAGATGCAGTGTATTTAGTGGCTCACAGATGGGTATGAAGATTATTATTATCCACTTGCAAAATAATCATAAGTAACATAAAGCAACACAAATACTTGAACTCTCTTGAGTAATATAGAATTTGAAAAACAGAATTAACAAGAAAAAGCCCACAGAGTAAGCCACTTTATACATTTATGGCCAAAATACACTGTAGGTTTGTGATTTTTCTTGCTTGAGAATGGCAGAAAGTAAATGTTGAAGCTGGGTGATGAGTCAGCGGGGGTTCATCATATGAGTCCATTTATTTTAAATACAGTACTTGCTTATTAATGAGGGGCCCTAAAATGATTCAGTTTGCAAAAAAATTAAACACATCTCTTACTCTTTAAGCTCGCTGTAAATTGGCAGGACAGACGGGTGGCAGACAAATGCGAATGCAATTGTTGGTAAAGCATACACGGTCTATTTGAAAGAAAAAATATAAACGTTATAGAAAGGCATTTTTACCATAAAAATTGTACAGCTCCAGTATTTCTGAGCCGTCTTTTCATCTGACAGCCCTTCAGAATCCCTGGATTATTTGGTTATTAGGAGAGCTTTGGTATCGAAATAGGAGCAGCTTCTCTAAGACAGCTTATCTAGCTTGAGACATTAGGCACTTGGCAGACAGGGGTTCTAGAGCTGGGCTCACCCATAGTGTATTTTACAACCTCCAGGCACTGCGTCACCCCGTACTTATGTGGCGCTAGCCGGTTACATAGCACTTTCCTACATTATTTCACTGAATCCCCACAGCAACCCTGAGGCAGACCAGTGCTGTTCTCCTGACTCCCTCCAAGACAGGCTAGGCAACACGCCCAGAACTTCCACCTCCGTTTTACTGCTCTTTGCACTATACAGGGTGCATCAATCAGACTTAAATATGGCATCTAAAAAGAAAGTTACTTTCTAAAAAGAAAATCACTTCACTGCTTTGGCTGTATCCTTGAGAGTTAAAAGACAGCGAGAGAGAGAGAACGAGCTAAATTCGTTTTCTTAGATAAGGTTTTTTAAAACTCTCAAATTCAATATAGTAACTTCTTATGCAAAAAGAAGTTGGCAGAGAAGGAGGGAAAAGTAACATTTCTCATGCTCTAATTTTGCCCAAGCACTGTACCAGGCACATTCTAACAAAACCCTGTAAGATACAGAATAGAATAGTTATTTTACAAATGGGGTTGATAATTTGCCTGAGGATTCAAATCCAAGCCTGACTGGTTCCATAGTCCATCATTTCCCAATATGTCACATGAACGTTCCTTAAGTGCCAATTTGTGGTGGCGTCTGTATTTCAACTGTACTTGCTGGGGAAGTCTGAGGTGTTCCTTTCTGTCACCACAAGATAAGAAGCAGTGGGCTAAGGATGTTAGTTATTAATCTGTTTTTAAAGATCTACAAGGAATAACAGAGCTGAGACAATTATCCAGAAAGAGGTTTTCACAGGGAATACTTAAGGCTGTCCTACACATAAACTGGGTAAAAGGGAGAATGAAATATACAATTTGTATATTCTCCAAGGTCCCTAAGTGGATTGTGGCAGTTGGAAGCAGTGATACAGTGTTCTTTGAGAACAAACACATCAAAGACAGTTTAATCAAAAGAAGTCTGAGAAATACAAATGCCCTTAGTAGAAACACTCGTTTTTATATTTAAAGGATAAGAAACTTACCTTTGAATTGAAGGTAACATATTTTGGTGTACACATGTCAGCATTTGTTGAATTAGCACTTATTGTTGAATTTAGCTCCGGAACAATGCAGGGAATTTGAAATTTCTTGTATATAACCTAGTATTAAAAAATAAAGGAGAAACAATCAGACTTTATCACATAAAGCCAAATAATGCATAATTATTACATAGCATCATACTATAGCAAAACCAAGCCAACCATTTCAATCAGCACTTACCACAATTAGGAAAAAAACCATACAGCTCAAGGAAAATCCACTAGTATAGCCAAGATAGCCTAAAAAAAAAGTTTAAAGAATTATTATGATTTCATCCATCACCTCTTTCAATGCATTCTTTCAAGCATAGTTTGGGGTTCCACTAGTATTCATACATGCTAGTATTAATACAAGATTATTTTGATAGTGCTACCTTACTTGGCAAAAATGGTGACTTGAAATTAAAACATTATAGCATTATGTGTTTTGATTCCAGTTCTTCCTGACACACTAGATAGAGAACACAGATTCCCAGAATCCAGGGGAAAAGACTTTCCCAAATTTGGCCATAGGTCTCTGTTGCTGTACTCGGATGGATTCCTATGGCCAAATCCCATTTACTCCTTGATCCATTCAGTAATTCTTGATTATGCACATATTGTATAAACACTAAATATACGCAGCGGAGAGGAAGTGCTTTCTAGGGAGAAACTGAACACCTGAGGATCTCCACCTTGCTCCCCTTGGAATGCCTGGGAGATCTCCAAGCACCATAATCTCCAGCAAGGCAGAGTTCAGTGGTCTCTGGGGGCTGCACTATTCTCACCCCTGGGGGAGAAGAGCCCTTCTCCACCTGCACTGAAAAGAGCTATATGTATATACACAGAAAAGCTTAAACACAGACTCAGAAACCAGATAATTAAGTAGCTTAAAAAACAATCTACTTATAGGTCTCACAGAACAGCTACAGAGGCTTGGTATTTTTCATACAAAACAAAAAATTATGGTTAGCAATCATTTTGGGAAGAACGTTAAATGTCTGCCTTGAATGAGCCCAGAATTAAAGGAAATGCATTTCAGAGGCTTTGGACTGGACGGCAGTCTGGCTGCATTATTCCACACATGAAATGTCCATAACATCAGGGACCCTGGTCTCCAAATACACACACACAAAAATGTCAAAACCAAATGGATATGACTTAGTGATTATCTACCACTTTTGACTTTTTGCTTCTTTCTCTCCCTTCAATGAAGCAAATAATTGAGACCGGTTAGACTCTGATAATTTTAAGAGTGATTCATAATACTTTGGGGTAAAAATATAAGCAACTTTCTGTCTTGATATCAGATGTGAAATTCTGCTCATCTAAATAATGAGTATGTAAGACCTTGTACGAGGAGAATTCCATTTCCTGGACTTTGTGCTTTTGGACAGAGCACTGTCTGTTGCTGGTCCCAGGACCTCCCTTCTTCCCTCCACGGCTTAGTAGAGGGATTGCTTAGGAAGTCACATACCAACCAGTGTTTTTATCCCATGTTAAAGTCAAGCCTGATTAATACTTGTAATTTATCACTCATTTAATCTTTACCCTACAAGTGAAAGCAGAGGGCAAAGTTGTTCGTTTTTATTAGGTTTCTGATTCACCTGGGTATTGTAGAGACTATGAGAAAAGCAAGCTCTTACCTAAGTTCTTCAAGAGACACAGAGGGAGAATTATGCCAAAGGTAACTACCACCACCAGAAGGCGGCCATCCACGTACCAGGCTCTGAAAGGCATGTAAGCAGTTAGGTCACATTTTCTTAGAAAGTGACTTTTCTTTCCTCACACATAAAATTTCACAGTACTTAAACTTTGTTAACTATTACTAATGTTTACCATTAACTTTTATCATTATTCAGGTTTTATCCAACCACTTTGACCCAACCACTAGTCACTTACTATCATCTCTCTCCTCAGGCAGCAGAAGAAGAGATACTGCTTCCCCCCTCACTCCCACTGGCTAAGCATGCCTTTCCTCTGAATTATTTACATCGTTTCAAAGCTGAATGCACACATTACGTTCTGTCAGATTACAACTTCTCTTATCAATTATTTAAAGAGAAAGTTCCTTTCTGTTTTGCTTGGCTAATATCATCGAAAAACAAGTCACCACAGGTAGCCATTGCTTTCTCCCTAATCCCTTGTATTTGACCTTGAATCCTGATGAAAGAACACTAGGAACTCTGGTTTCTACGATTCTCCCTTGAAAGAAAACAGGGAAACTAAGACTGACAAGAACTGTTAAGCAAGAGGTAGTCAAAACAAAGGATGTACTAAACGCAGCTGCAACATTTTCCAAGGTTAGCTGCATCTTTAATGAGGCTGGCTCACGTCAGTTCTGCTCCCCAAATGCTCTGTCCCTTCTTTAAGGAAGAGACTGCGGTCTTAATCTTGCTTGTTCCACTTCTGTGTCAAAAATACTCCACATCTGTTCTACTTCATAGAAACTGGATGTAGATTTCAAGCTCTTGGGAAATTGCAGCACCTAGCGTTTACAGCATGACCGATGAATCTACCTTTTAAATGCTCAGATTCAAATGGCTCTGCCTGCTTCCTTCATTTATATACCCCCAGAAACAACAAACCAAGAAAAAACAGTCTAGGGAAAACTTTGTTTCTGCAGTCTTCATAAAACAAAAACGTTGGTTAGCCCACATTTCAATTAAAAGCATTTTAGTTATCTCACAAACAGCGGTCTGTAACTTACGAAAATGTCTCTTCCTTTCCCATTAGAAACTTTATGGCAGAGGGTAGTTCATTTTTTACTATGAACAGGTAGCTCAGCATTGCTAGAGGAAAATGAGAACATTTTTAGAAAGAGGCTACTGAGGCTCACGTTGCAAGCTATATAAAAGGTCACCAGCCTGTTCCTAGACTACCTTCAATAAGACACAAAGACAGCTGTAGACACTGTCCCAGTATCCTTGGTTGTTAAGCGACTACTGTGTCTGCTGGACTTCCCAAGCGCCATTTTAGCAATGAGAATGATACTGCTTGAATTATGTTAAAATTCATGTGGCCACCCAACCACCAGGATTAGAAAGAAATAATAATGTTCACAACATTAATGTATAGAAAAACATGATCTTTTTACCTCCAGTGTTCTGTAGGGAGGTGGCTCCAAAGATGACAAGTTTCCCTGTGGTGCCAAAGACCTGTTCTCCCAGCTTTTCATAAACCATGCAGCCTGTTTAAAAACCACAGTTGAGAACAGAAGAAATGACAGAGTTCCCTATGTTAAAAATAGCCAAGATTTCATCATTCTATTGACGATTCCCCAAGTTATTGTGTCTTTATCAAAAATCACACAAATAGCCTTCTTGGCTTTGCAAGGGTTAAGGCATTTTCATTACAAAACAACCCCTTGACATTTTTAAATGTCAGACATGATCACGATTTTTTCTTTTTCAGGTTGGCTACAAAAGCACTGCAAATAAATGATGAGGTCATAAGACTTATTTGTTTTACTGTCTCAAAAGTATCCCTACTTTACTGGGGGGAAGTTCCCACTCTGATCTTATTCTCAGGTCTGGTGTGTATCATTAAAATAAAAATTTGATTTAAAAATAAAAATCCTGATGCTTGGGAAGAAAAGTTCCTTTTGAATGAATTACCTGAACTGATCAGGCTAACAAGGGATTATCTTAGTAATATTCCAACAATGCCTCATGGGTCCTAAATACAGTAACAAGCTTAGAAACATGTAATAACCACGACATCAGAATTCTGACCTTTGATAAAATTTAGTTCAGGGATTTGCAACTCACAAACGAGGGAAGCAGATAACTCTGTCAAGAGAATAATTTGGCCATAGCAAAATTCTAAAGTGTTCAACCGGCTCATCTCAATAAATACTAAAATGTTAAACCATTCATTTAAGAAAATGGGTTTATATTTCTTTGTAACAGTTCAGCTCACGTTTTTCAAAAGGTTCACAGGAAGCAATATGAGTCAGACTACAATTAAACTTTTGTTTATTCTCTCATAAGACTGGTGTTTAAACTAGACAATGGTTAGATCTGCAGTTTATTAGAAAATGTTCCAGTTAAATGGAGTCATCTACATACAGTAATAGTCGGCCAATGTGGTTTTAGCTAAAGTAAAAGTCAAAGTATTACAAACATAATCCAGTGTCCCAGGAACAGAAAATAAACACTTCAGGTATTACACTGCCCAGAGAACCTGAAGTCTTTTCACACCACACTCATTCCCACATTGCATTGGGAATCACGTTTTCTCCTTGGAATATGCACGAAAGGGAATGAAAGCTCTGTTTACTTTTGAAACCTTGGAGGCTATAATATAAAAACATGGGATCCTTGGTCTAATTTTATAAAGACCTAAGGAAAAAGCCGAGACCTTTAAAATGAAGTCATCTTAAACTAGAAAAGCAGGTATAATTGAGGGTTCTCTTTAAATGGCAATGTTATTTGCTCATTGTTCATAACAAGTTAACTTATATGTTGCTTTATCTACTTCTGTAGGTAAATTCCTCTACAGGTCTTCCAGTGACGACAGGTCAAAGTACTGTTTTTTTTTAATAATCAAGTTGCTGAACAGGGAGAGTATCATTTGTTCACAGTATCACCATGAGAATCAATTACCCTGGCTTTACAAAACTAGACGTGCTATCAGCTTACCTGTTTCCTTGGAACAGATCAACAGAAGGTTGATTGAATATATAGACAGCAGTGTTACTGAAGTCAAAAGTACCCTAAAGCAAAGAAAATAAGTCTTGTGATAACTATAAAGAACACAGACCCTGACCTCATATTGCATTGGGTTGGCCAAAAAGTTCGTTCAGGTTTTGCATAGCACATTACGGAAAAACCCGAATAAACTTTTTGGCCAAACCAACAGAAAGGCCAAGGCTGATTTAGATGTTATACGGTTAACGCTATTCATTGACAGGATCCAGATACTGGAACCTATTAGTCACACCCTCCTTAACATCCTCAATAAAAACGTTCTACCAAGTAAAGAACTGCTCATTAGAATGTAACTCCAAGAATTCAAATGCTTTGTAATCCTAAGCGTAAACAGAAATAGCTTTCTGGGATCGTTTCAGTTGAGGCCACTTTAAAACAACATTGTGAAAGAAAGCTTTTGTGGCCTATGGTGCACTTGCTGTGACACCCCCGTGAGGAAGTGTGAGAGAGGGGCGTGAGGGTGGGAGTGGGGTGAGTGGGGATGTTGAGGGAAAGGCTTGCAGTGACCCTTAGGTCCAGGACCACGTGACTGTGGGCACCTTGCTTGATGTCTCCCATCCGTCACCTATAACAGAAGGCCAAACGGCTTCTAGGTTCTTTTCACCTAATTACTTTATGGCTATCTTTGAACCTATACATTAGACCACTGAGATAATTCACTTTTTTTTTGCACCCGGTTCCTCTTAAAATAATAATAAGTTTCCCTCTCTTAACGGATGGGAAAAGTTTGACAACCAAGCGGAATGAAAAGACTTTGTTGAACGACAAACTCATGTTTTTGTTTTAGTACATCTGACTCGTTATCAAACCTTCCTCGAGAAAAAGCACAGTTAGAATGATGTGGGAGATGGTATAGATTGTTTCTGAAACATTTGGTTAAAACAGACCTAAGAATTGCAAATAAAGCTTATTTATTTAAAGAACTAAATTCCAGTCCCCTAGATAAGACCGCTCACTTCCTGATGTAGGGAAATATGTCCCAGGAACAATGCATTACTGCAATTGATTCCATGTTTGAGTAATGAAGGCAATTCTTTTTCTAGGAAGTACTGCTGAGCGGTGCTTGGCGCCTTGTGCAATTCTCTCTGCGTGGACCTCTTCCCAGCCCTTCCCCCACTCCGCACACCTGCTGAACCACTGCTCAGATGTCACCTCCTCAGGTACCTTCCCTTGCCCCAGGCAGAAACACTGCTTCTTAGCTTTCTCTTGTCTCGCGGCATTTTGTTTCTCCTCTGTTTCAACCATGCGGAAATAAACGGGGGAGGACAGACAGCCAAGGGCAGAGCAGACGGACTGCCAGAGACTGGCCAGAAACCATAAAAGAGTGACAGGGCTCGGCAGAAGTAAAACAAACACTGGGAGAAAGAATGGAAAATCTATGGGAGGAAGAATGGAAAATCTAACACTTCAGGTGAAAGTCCAACTGACCGGCTAATAAAGGGGAATTTAGGTTAAGATATGATTGTAAAGAAGTACATTCGGACATATATTGACTCAGATCCCTGAGTAAGAGGGTGAATAAGAGGGTAAGTCCCTTATTACCTATTCTGGTTAAGGGACACGAAAAACTGAGAGCTAGCATTTATTAAGCAATCCAGCAGTTTTGAGATCTGTAACGGAACATGATTTGCTATGCTCTGCCGGAGAGTAAGAGACAGGACACATCTGTGGTATGATTTTTCCTTCATCTTATAAGATATTTATGTTAAGGAAGCAAGCCTTGAGTTTCACTCAGAGTTCACTCATGTTGATACTGAACCCTAAGTGGCAACTTCCACAAGCGCCTGTGACAGGCCACAGGGGATTTCTGTGGCACAGAAGATCCTGGGCTACCAACTGGGGATAGAATGGATGCAATTTGAGGATTAGCCATGGGCTCTTCTGAAGTGACCCTGTCCTCTGTTGAATTGACTCTCCTGGGACTGACCTGGGGAGGAGAGGACATATTACCACTGGGCCCCAGGCTAATGAGTAAAGAGTATGATCTTTCAAAATATGTACGTTGTAGGAGGGATAATTACTAACATCTACCTAATGGGTAACCAAAGGCCCTCAGCCAGGGAGAACTGGGTCCTCAGTAGCAAAAGAAACATTCTACGGAAACATCTGTTCCCCCAGCTGGTAGCTCTGGGACCACATGTGCTTGCACATATGGCTCTGAGCCATTCTTTTGGGTGGACTTCTCTGTAGATGATGCTCAGCTGGCCTGTGGCCTTCGGCAAAAGAGAAAGGATTTCTTCATAAACTCGTTTCACCTCTTTTTCTTTTCCAAGTGGGAGAAAAGTGTTGATCAGGGAAGATTTTAGCAGGGAGCTCACCTATCTTCTTCACCAAACTTAACAACAGCAGAATGAGATCCTTCCACAGCGATGACAAGCCCCTTGCTCTCATGTCTGAGAGACATCACACCGCATCCCCGGCCAAACAATCCATAGTAAGTCTGACAGCCAATCCCTGGAGACCCTTTTCTCCATCCCTCCCAACATATAGACCTTCCCTTCCAAGACTGAAAACTAATATAAAGCAAAAACCGTTTTCTATCAGGTCACTAAAAGGCAACTTCTGTATGTAAAATTCTATCACTGCTTTAGCCTATAACAGAATCTAGCATTAATGGAATTAAAATTTAGAAAAGTATATCTCCCTATTTAGATTCTTAGAAAGAAGCAATAAAATATCGAATTGGTTATCACAGATCCTAGAATAGTTTAAGAGGATCCAGTCGGAGCTGACATCTGAAAGAAAGAGCAGGGAGAATGACTCGTGAGACTAAGGACTTATTTGAACATTTCTTCTATCTTGAGCATGACTGTGCCCCTATTTACACAAGTAAATATTTGTACATATAGTTTGGTTTCCTGGAGGAGAAACATAAGCTGGTATTCCTGTGCTAAGAGGAACAGAAGTGATTCATTTTTTTCATTTCATCTGGGTATCATGTAAGCTTTCACACAGCTAACCATTGACCAAAAGTTTCCATATGGTTGGGGCAAAAGCTGCTCGCTGAAAAAGGCATGTTTCAATGGGAACCAAACCTCAACAACAGGCAACTGAGTTGTCAAGGTATTAATAGTTCAGACTGATGTTCAGCCTTGAAGAGAAGGGGACCTAGAACATATGACTAAACACGGGCCCTGGGGAAGCAGTGGCGGGAGAGATAGTGTCGCGAAGAACGTGTTCAGGGATTTTGAGAAACCTCATGTGTCAGCGATACTTTGAAAACACGTGGTGCAGGGACATTCCAGTAGATTTTGTGTCCCCTGAGAAGAAAGAGGCTGGTTAGGAAACAGAATTCTAGACTCCTGGACTGGGGAGAGACCTTCAGAGACTACCCTGCCCAGCTTTTCAGGCAGGATGGGAAACCTCTATGCTCTGTGCCAACACATAGGCATCCAGGTCTGCAAAGTCTTCTGTCAGGGGACACATATGCAACCCATCCTGCTTCTGGAAAATGCTGTGTACTGGAACTGAGGCTGAGCTGAAACTTCTGCTGCTATGTTTATCTTGGGTCCTTATTTTACCCTCTGGACCTACTTGAATCTACTTGAAATCTAACCCCTCCTCCACCTAAAGGTCCATCTGACGGTGCTCATTTTAAGATGGTGCTCTTTGACTTTAACTTCTCCAGTACTTTCAGCTGTTCATCCTGTGATGGAGTGTTCAGCTGTTTACAGCTCAGTCGTGGTCCAGTTTCTCATCCATCCTTTTTAACGGCTGTGAGCCAAGAAAAGCACAATGCTCTCACATTAGTTTTGATCCAGACCGTGCAAAGCACAGTAAGATTATTAATTTGAGTTGGACATCCTGCTTTTTTTTTAAAATTCTTTTTATTAGTAATGTTGAGCATCTTTTCATGTGCCTCTTGGCCATCTGTATGTCTTTTTTTTTTTTTTGCTTTAATTTTTTTATACAGCAGGTTAGTTATCTATTAGTTATTAGTTTTCTATTTTATACATATTAGTGTATATATGTCAATCCCAATCTCCCAATTCATTCCACCCCACTCCCCTACCCCTGCTTTCCCCACTTGGTGTCCATATGTTTGTTCTCTACATCTGTGTCTCTATTTCTGCCTTGCGAACTGGTTCATCTGTACCGTTTTTCTAGATTCCACATATATGCGTTAATATACGATATTTATTTTTCTCTTTCTGACTTATTTCACTCTGTATGACAGCCTCTATGTCCATCCACGTCTCTACAAATGACCCAATTTCATTCCTTTTTATGGCTGAGTAATATTCCATTGTATATATGTATCATATCTTCTTTATCCATTCGTCTGTCGATGGGCACTTAGGTTGCTTCCATGACCTGGCTATTGTAAATAGTGCTGCAGTGAACATTGGGGTGCATGTGTCTTTTTTTTTTTTTTTTTTTTTTTTGCGGTACGCGGGCCTCTCACTGTTGTGGCCTCTCCCGTTGCGGAGCACAGGCTCCGGACGCGCAGGCTCAGCGGCCATGGCTCACGGGCCCAGCCGCTCCACGGCATGTGGGATCCTCCCGGACCGGGGCACGAACCCGCGTCCCCTGCATCGGCAGGCGGACTCTCAACCACTGCGCCACCAGGGAAGTCCTGCATGTGTCTTTTTGAATTACGGTTTTCTCTGGGTATATGCCCAGGAGTCATCCTGCTTCTTTTAAGGCAAACTATTTTGGTTTTCATTTTTATGGAAGCAAGTCACACTTCTCATTCTTGTTGAGCTTCTGGGGGAACTGCTGTTAGGCCAGTCTTCCTGGTTCCATCCTGTGCACTTCTTTTTTTTTTTTAAGCCAAGTATAAGGCTCTGCATTTATTTTCATTACCTTTTATCGTTCCAGTCTTGTGATATTTTTTAAATTGTTATCCTTTTTACTTATGTATCAACTACCTCATCCAGCTTCCTATCTTGAGTCTGCCTTCATCCAAGTCACTGGTTCTTTCTGAACGGAACAAGCCCATCTGGAAAATGGCCCACTGTCCGGCCAACTGCTCCAGCCAGACACCTGGAGGTCATCCCTGACT